CTGCACCCCTCCACGTGGTCCCGGGCTCCCTCCTCAGCCTCCCTAACACCTTGTCTGCCTCCCAGAGGCTCCTCCACTGCCTCCCAGTGTCTGGGTGCAGTGGACCCTTGATTCTGGCCTCGCTCCTCCCTCCTCCCACCATCCTTTGGCCTCTTCAGCCATCGTCACTGACCCTCTGGGCCTGTGGCCCCCAGTGTCCTGGTCCCATCACAGCCTCTGACCTCGGGCGTACACTGGCCCCACTGCTGTATTCCTAGCTGCCACTGCCTGACCTCTAGTTCCCGCACCCCCTGGCCCGGGCTGAGTTGGGGAGTCTCTGCCCCATCCCCCACCCACATCAGGGCCTGGGACCCCAGGGCTGGGCAGGGTCAGAAGCCTGGGCAGGAGGATGGTGCCTGCTGCTGGAGAAATCCCAGGGTCAGCGGGTGTTGCTAGGCACAGGGGTCCTGAGCCCAGGGCAGAGTGGGGTGAGGTGGGCAGCTCGGGTGAGCAGCTTGCGGGGGAGGGGAGGGGAGGGGAGGTGGGGAGAGGTGTCGGGGAGGTGTGGACTAAGAAGAGGAATTAGGTCAGGGCTGTGGGTGGGTGGGCGAGGGGGGGTGGCATCTGCCACAGAGCTTCCTTCTGGCTCCAAAAGCATCTCCACACTTCCCTTCCCGTCCCCCTCCCCCCAGGTCCTGGGAAAATTCTCCCTGGTGTCCCCCTCCCCCATGCCCCCCCATTGCCACAGGGGTGGGGAGCAGGGTGGGGGAGGCCAGCCTCAGCTGTCTGAAGGATGGAGGGGCTGGGAAGCAGGGCTAGGTGCCCAGACGGCCGCGTGTGTGGGAGGGGATGTCCTCAGATGCCCTCCACCCGGCAGTCCCCGCTCTGACGTGGGTGCCCCCCCTTTCCCCGCCCGGATTAGTGGCAGCTTGGCCTGACTCTCCGGGGCTCCTGCCCCCGCCCCCGCCTGCTGCCCTCCCCTGGGCAGGGGGCTGCTCCTCCGAGGGGCACCGTGCTTGCCCAGGTAAGGGGCTCTGGGGACGGTGTGAGGGCAGCCGGCTCGTGAGTGCTGCCGTGCCTGTCAGCACAAGTGTGTGTCAGCATGTGCGTGTGTGGTGTGTGTGTGTCAGTGCGCCAGGGTCGGTGCGGGCCTGGGGCCGAGCCCACGTGTGGCCGGGGGTGCTGGTCAGCCTGCCTTTGTCCACGAGTCTGGCATTGTGTCCACGCGCTGTGTGGCTTTCCTTCTGCGTTTGTGTCTTTTGTGTGTCTCCTCAGCTCTGCTCCGTCCTCAGGCACAGAACAGCCGGCTACAAGGACTCCGTGGGCCTGTGGCAGGGGCTCCACAGCAGTAAGGGGAGCTGGGTGCGGGGCAGGGAGGGGTCCTTTCCCCATCCCGTCCCCTGCGAGCCCCTGGGCACTTCTGGCGCCTGTCCCCAGAGCCCCGCTCCAGTCCAGGGACTGTGGCCTGACGAAGCAGACATGGCAAGTGGGGGTGGGGGAGAGGTGTCTGTCCCAATCCCCAGGGACAGTCCCCATCGCCTTAGGGGATGACAGCGACAGGCCCTCAGGGCTCTGGACAGCCCAGGCTTCCTCCCTGGCCTCTTCCAGGCCCCAAGCCGCAGGAATCTCCCCCGGATGCTCCCACAAGCTGAGGAGGGAGGCCAGTGGACACAAATGGGGACCACAGGCACACTCCAGCCATCCCCCCATTTTCTCCCCTGGAGCCAGTCTGGGGGTGGGAGGCCAGGCCCAGGCCACGTTGGACCCTCCATAAGCATCTCCCTGGGCACACTGAGGTCCGGTCACCCCCAGGAGAGCTGGGGGAGGAAGGGAGTGTTAATAACTCAGTCATGTAAATAGCCCCTACCAGCCCGCCCTGCCACAGAGCTGGCCTGGGGGGTACGCAAGGGGCTTGGTGACTCCATGCCAACATGGCCCGCATCCTGCCTGGTGCCTGTGCCTTTAGGCCCCCCTTCCCAGGACCCCTCCTCCTCTCCTCAACTGATGGAAGGCCCCGGCCCTTGGGAGGAAGGCTCTGGCTCTCCAGGGATGGAGGCGTGACTTGGGACAGGCTGGAGGCATCCAGAACCCATCCCTCCCATGGGATGGGAGAGTCAGGGGGCTGCTCTGTCCCAGGCTGGGAGAAGGCGGGCTGAGAGTGGCTTCCGCAGGGAGGCAGGGGCGTTGAGGGTGGGAGGTGGGTGCCCGAGGGAAAGGGAAGTGCCCGTTGGGCGTGTGGGTTTCTGTGTGAGTCTGAATCTGTCTGTGTGTGTCTGTGCTCTGGAACCGCCCCCGCAGAGGAGCCGGGATGCTTCCTCGGGTGGAGGGCGCCCTACTTTCCCATTTTCTCTCGTGCTCCCTGCTTGCTCCTGGGAGCCACTCCCATGGGCTCCCCTCCAGAGCCGGCCCGGAAGCACTAGGAACCCTGGGACGGGACAGAACCCCAGAATTTGGGGCTCATCTGGTCCCATCACCTCTCTGACACTTGGTGGAAGGAAGGCCCTTAGACCAGGGATGGACTAGAGCCCAGGCCCTCCCAGAGCTCCTCAGGCATGGCCCTTGGTGCCCCTGGGCCCTGGGAGGGGGTTTGGGAGGGAGTTGGGGTGGGGGACCGTGAGGATCAGCTTGTCTAGGTGAGGATGAGGCAGGGCAGGCCCGCCCCTGGGGTGTGCCCATGTGCCAGAGCTGGAGAGGACCAAAAGCAGTGGTCCAGCAAGCAAGGCCCAGCTGGCGTGGGTCAGAGCGCCCATCACTGACCCGTGAGAACCTGACTGCCCCTGCCAGCTCTGGCACTGCCCCCTCCCAAGCGCCCCGCCCCAGCACCCCCGGGGGCACCCCGCCCCACCATGGCCTGGTCCGGCCCCTCCCGCCCTTTGCTCCAGTTCCCGGGCTTGGCACCTATAGTGGGGGTGCTGCCCGCCTGCCAGGCTCCGAGGCCGGGCCCACGGGAGGGTGGGGCGGCTGGGAAGCTGGCACGCTGCCCCGGGGGAGCCTCTCTCGGCAGGCGCCCGGGTGCCGCGGGGGGGAGGGGGGAACAAAGGGCTCATTCTCCCCGTGCGCAGCCGGTGGCATCGCCGGGGCGTTGGCGGAAGCCCCCGGGGCCCGGGAGGGGGCAGGCCCAGGCGGGGCCGCCGAATCACGGGCTCCTGTTTCCCGCAGGGTGCTGGAGGAGGAAACCGGCGGAGCAGCTTCCCCACTCTCAGTTGCGCGTCTGGCGATGGCGATCAGAGGTCCTGCTGCGCTCTCCGCCGCGCTCTCCCTCCATTAGCCGCGCTGCGCGGTGCTGCGCCCTCGCTGGTGCCTCTCTCCTGGGTCCCGGGATCGGCCCCCCTTGCAGGCACGACCCCCTCCCCCGGCCCCTCGGCCTTTCCCCCCACTCGGCCACCTCCGTCCCGGGGCGCGCGTTCCCCCCGGCCCGGTTCCGTCTCTCCCTCCGGGGGCACCCGCTCCCTAGCCCCGGCCCGGCCCTCCCCGCGGCGCAGCACGGAGTCTCGGCGTCCCATGGCGCAACCCACGGCCTCGGCCCAGAAACTGGTGCGGCCGATCCGCGCCGTGTGCCGCATCCTGCAGATCCCGGAGTCCGACCCTTCCAACCTGCGGCCCTAGAGCGCCCCCGCCGTCCCGGGGGAGAGCGAGCGCGAGAGCGCTGAGCGGAGAGCGGGAGACCGCGTCCTCGCCCGCCGGCCGGGAGGCCCCGGAGCCGGCCCATGGGGAGCGGGTGCCCGGCGCCGGCCAGGACGACCGCCGCCCGCGCCGCGCCCGGCCCGTGAAGCCCAGGTAAGCGCCGAAGGGGACGCCGGGGGCGCGCGTCCTGGGGACACTGAGGCGGGGGATTTCTGAGTCGAGCCCGCGGCACCCGCAGGGAGCGAGTTGCCGAGGTCCCCTCTGGGCTGGGCCACACACCCCAACATCACCCGAAAGTTAGGACGCCGGACCCGGCGGGACGGCGGCGGCTCCAGAAAACTGGGCGCCCTCTGTCACCTCCCTCCTGGGGCCGGCCGAGGGGACCGCGTCAAGAGAGCGCTGCCCGGCTGGTGCCACCTGTCATCCCCGTCCCTTGCACGCACGTTCAAGTTTCCCTCCCTTGCCTCTCTCTGGGGCCCAGCCCGCTTTCCCCGCCTCCTTCCCTCCCCCCTCGCTGCCGGGCTGCAGGGCTGCAGTTTCCAGCGGCGGCGGCCGGGCTGGACGAGGGCAGCTTGACCCATCCGGCTGAGACCTTTAATCCTCCTCTCCTATACTGGCTCACTCGTACCCTGGGGCCAGGGTGGAGATCCCAGCCCCCCGCAGTTGTCTTGGGACTCTGCTTCAGAAGCGAGAAACTGCAGAGCAGGGGAAGAGGCAGGCTCAGGGCTGCCCAGGTGTAGGGAGAGACCCTCCACAGCCCTGGCGCGCAGCCCTCCCCCGTGACTCCAGCCTGCTCTGCCTGCACTTGCCATCCCTACAAGGCTGGCTGGGGCTGCAGGCTGGCGGTGGGCAAGCAGCACCCCCAAAACCACAGCGGCAGTACGGGAAGAGTCCTCTGGGACCCACACCCCATTTCACACTAGGGCACACTGAGCCTCAGACGAGGGACCAGACTCGCCCAAGGCCATGGCTGAGTCAGAGCCACCATCCGGGGTTCTTGTCTTCCCGGTTCAGTGCCTTCCACTGAGCTCACCTTTTGGGTTCTCGCTTTCTGTCCTTCCCCATGACCTGGGACCAGGTTCCTGGCTTGGTGAGGCCAGAACATGCCCTCCGAGAAATGGTAGCTTCTGCTGAGGGACTGTGGCCCAGGCGGGCTGTCGAGTCCCAGGAATTTGGGGGAAGGGGTGAGCTCCCCACACTGGAGCATCCCACCCAGGCAGGGTCCTTCTGGCCACACGTGGCTAGGCAGCATGTCGCCTGGCTGTGGGCTGGTACTTGCCTTACTGGTTTGAGTCACCTTGGTGCTGCCAGGGCGGTGCCGCTGTGCCAGGTGGTAAGGTGCTTCGGGCATGTGCCCCGGGAACTCATGCTTTGATGGTTGTGCTCCAGGACCCCCTCTGGGCAAGCCCCATGAGGACAGGAGAGTGATGGAGAGTACGCCCAGCTTCCTGAAGGACACCCCAATCTGGGAGAAGACGGCCCCTGAGAACGGCATTGTGGGACAGGAGTCGGGCACCCCGCCTCGAGATGGCCTGCACCGTGGGCCGCTGTGCCTGGGAGAGCCTGCTCCCTTCTGGAGGGGCGTCCTGAGCACCCCGGACGCCTGGCTTCCCCCTGACTTCCCCCAGGGCCCCAAGGACACACTCCCACTTGTGGAGGGTGAGGGCCCCCAGAATGGGCAGAGGAAGGCCCACTGGCTGGGCAGCAAGGACGGACTGCGCTGGAAGGAGGCCATGCTCACCCACCCGCTGGCGTTCTGCGGGCCAGCGTGCCCACCTCGCTACAGCCCCCTAGTTCTTGAGCATAGTGGTGGCCATTCCAAGAGTGACCCTGTGGCCTTCCGGCCCTTGCACTGTCCTTTCCTTCTGGAGACCAAGATCCTGGAGCGAGCTCCCTTCTGGGTGCCCACCTGCTTGCCACCCTACCTGGTGTCCAGCCTGCCCCCAGAGCATCCATGTGACTGGCCCCTGGCCCCGCACCCCTGGGTGTACTCCGGGGGCCAGCCCAAAGTGCCCTCTGCCTTTGGCTTAGGCAGCAAGGTGAGTGCTGGGACAGGCAGAGGACCTGGGGCTCAGGCCATACAAGGTACCTCAGTGGTCCCAAGAGTCCTGCCAGCTCCCACCCCCCACATTGACCCTAAGCAATCCCTCCTGTGGACAACTCCCATCTCTCTAGACCTCCCCTGCACTCGGCCCCTTGCTGTCGCTGACTCACCCATTGCCCACCCCGGGCAAGGCCCTGGGAACTCTGGCCTTGGAATGCGTGGCCTAGTCCTGGGTGGAGAAGGTGGGCAGGCAAGACCCCTCTATCTGGGAGCAGGACGTGTGGGTGACCCCAACAGCCTGTGTCTAGGTCACCTCCCCCACAGGTGACCTCCACACCCAAGGATGAGATTTTAAAATATTTAAAAAATAGTATGGTACAGGACGCCAGACAATCCAAGCAGACCGTGGATGCCCTTTGGCTGTGCCAGGCGTTAGCCCTGGAGTTGCTAGATTGTGAGGAAGTCTGAGATCCCTGGGGGCCTGCGTGTCTGGGGGGCAGCCAGGGCAGCTGGGGGTGGGCAGGGGGCAGGGGGCAGGCGAGCTAGGGCAGCGCCATTTGTTAAGCAGGATGTGAGTTCTTCAATATTTAGGCCCTGGAAACCAAAGGCAGCATGAGCTTACCCCTTTCTCCTCTCTTTAGGGCTTTCACCACAAGGATCCCATTCTCGGGCGGGCCAGGGAGCCCCTGGCAGCTGCAGAACCTGGGCTGTTGGGCTTGGCCCCTGGTGGGCACCTCCAGAGAGCCAGGGAGGCGGAACGCCCCTCACTCCACCAGAGGGATGGAGAGACAGGAGCTGGCAGGCAGCAGAATCTTCGTCCGCTTTTCCTGGGGCATCCGAGCACTATTCCCTGGACCCCCTGGCCTGCTTGTCCCCCAGGCCTCGTTCACACTCTCGGCAACGTCTGGGCTGGACCAGGCAGTGGGAGCCTTGGGTACCAGCTGGGACCACCTGCCACACCACGGGGCCCCTCTCCTGGGCCTCCTACCACCCAGGGGCGCTGTTGCTCATCCCATCCATCTGCTAAGGATGGGGGTCTTGGCCCTTGTGGGAAATGCCAGGAGGGCCTGGAGCGGGGGACCAGTGGGTCCAGTGATTTCAGCGAGGAAGTCAGCAAGGCCACTGATCCCAGGGCCTGTCCCCCCAGCCACCACACCAAGCTGAAGAAGACATGGCTCACTCGACACTCTGAGCAGTTTGGATGTCCAGGGGGCTGTCCTGGGGATGAGGAGAGCCCAGCTGCCCGGCTCCGGGCTCTCAAGAGGGCAGGCAGCCCTGAGGTCCAGGAGGCAGTGGGCAGCCCAGCCCCCAAGCGGCCACCTGACTCTTTCCCAGGCCCTGTGGGGCAGGGGGCCAGGGCTTGGCAGGAGGTGCTGGACGCATCAAGAGGGAGCAAGGTGGAGGCAGGACGGCATAATGACCAGAGAGGTGAGGGAGTAGGGGAGGGGCTGCAGGGGGCCCTGCTTGGGAGGGGCAGCCAGGGCTGGGGCTTTGCAGGGGCTGGGAACCGTAGGCCCTTCGTGAGTGGATCACACCAGGTTGTCAAGTTCCCCGCCTGGACGGACTGTGATGGCTCTTTGGGAGTTCCTCAGCATCTACAGGCCAGAGCCTCCCAGCAAGTGGCTTCTGTCTCTGTCTCTTCCCAAGCCATGGTGTGTTAGTGGCCATATAATGACATGGTTCACGCATGGGCTCTAGAGTCAGAGTGCCTGGTTCCTGACTTGGCTGATTGGTAGCTGTGTGACCTTGGGTGAGTTACTTCACCTCTCTGGGCCTCAGTTTCTTCATCTATAAAATGGGGATAAAGGTGGCACCTGCCTCATGAAGACGGCTGCAAAACTGAAATGCTACTATAATAATTCACATCGAAGGCTCTGAAGAATTCCTGGCTCCTAGCAAACACTCCATAAATGTTCACTGCTGTGACTATTTGTGCCATGAGTCCCCGCTGGGGGATTGCCTCTCCTGAAGGACCCCTAGTCCTGCCTCAGGGATGGCTGCTCTCCTGGCAAGATGGATCGTGGAGATGCATTTTGGACTCTGCCAGTGTGAGGGCTTTGGGCACGCCCTGGAGCCCTGTGCCACACTTGCCCTTCACAGAGGGTTGCGGCACTGCTGGCCCCAGACTCAGTCTTGGGGATCACTTGGGTTTCTCAGCCTCCTGGACTGCTGGGCCTGGCACAGGACTCTCTCGTGGCCTTGCCCAAATACCCCTGCACCTGGCATGGGTCTCTCTGCACCCGCCGGGGCCTGGCTGGGCTGGGAATTGGTGGCCTCTTTGCCTTCTTGGGTTACTGCACCTGTGGCCTGTGTTGAAACTCTCCGGCCTTCTCACCTTCCGGCGCCCTCCGTCTGTGCTGGGATTGTCTCCTCACGCTGTCAGGCAGCCAGCCGTGTCACTAAGCCCTCAGTGGCGCTATCCAAAGTCTACACTGGCTGGATCCTGCACTTGCGGCAGGGCGATCGCCCCAGCTGCCCGCAGCCCTGGGCGCAGCACACCGGATGACCCCTGACCTCGCTGTCGTCCGTGTCACAGCAGGTTCCCGGCTCAGCCTTGCGCTGGAAACTTCTCGCTGCCTGGTCCACTCTCGCTGGTCCTGAATTAGGCTCCATAGACCTGGGGCGAGGGGCCAGGCTGGATCTGTGTGCGGATGGCATGGGCGCTAAGGCAGGGGCTGGGGGTTGCCAAATCCCAGAAAACTCAGACTCCTGACCAGCCCACATTGTCCCCTCAGGACCCCGAGATGGCCGGGCCAGCCTCCAGGACCCTGGGCTTCCGGACATACCACGTGTGGCTCTCCCTGCAGGCCTCACCCAATGCCAAAGCTGTGCCCAGGCAGCTGGAGACGGGGGAGGGCTGGCCTGCCACTCCCAGCAAGGGCGGAGGTGAGCCCATTGTCCTGGGTGCCCCCACGTCCTCCCCCGGGGGCTCCATCCTCACCCTCCTTTGCCCTCTCTCCAGATTGCCTCTGGGAGGGGAGCGGCAGCAGGAGGAAGACACAGCTGCCAGCTCCAGCTCTGAGGATGGCTGGGGGTCTGGCCCAGAGGCCCCGCTCAGCACGGGCCTTGCCAAGCACCTGCTCAGTGGTTTGGGGGACCGACTGTGCCGCCTGCTGCGGAGGGAGCGGGAGGCCCTGGCCTGGGCGCAGCGGGAAGGTGAGCAGGACCTCCTGGGCCCCCACCCAGGCGTCCCTGCCCTGCCCCACCCCCATCCCCCCCAGCCCCATCCTCACCCCTTACTTTGCCCTTACTCCTGTCTTAGGCTCTTGGTCATCGCCGAAGTTTCTGGCCTGGCTGGGGGATGTTGGGAAGGGGTTATCAAACCTGGCGCAGCCCAATTCTCTTGGAATTTTGGGGCTTTGGGGGCAAGCAAGACTGAGTGCCAAGAGCCTGGGAGGCGGGGCCGCTCCTGGAGGACCAGTGGGACCTGGGCTGATGGCAGAGATGGGCGGGCACTAGGCTGCTTGCTCTGGCTCCAGGCTGTCTCTCCGGCCACCCTCCCACGGCCCCAGAGAGTGGTCTCTGTAAACACACAGCCCCGGGCCACAGGTCACTCCCTGGGTGGAGCTCATGGGGGGCTCCCTGTTGCCCCGGAAAGGCCAGCCCCAGCCCCATCGGCATTTCCCAGCCAGCTCCCCGTCGGCTCCTGCTGCTGCCAGCCTGGATTCCCGGCACACACAGCACCCGTCCTTCCCTTCCCGGCTCCCTTGAGCTTGGCCATCCCCTCGGGCCTTGGCACTGGCCGTTCCCTGGGTCTGGAATGCCGCGCTCCTCCCTTCCTACCTGGTGAATGAACACTTACTCATCCTCCGGGCGCTTGGGAAGCTCCCACCCCCCCATCCTCTGTCCCATTTTCAGACTCTAGCGCCTGCCCAAGGTGCCATAGTCATTGCCGCGTTTATAGGTCCATTTCCCCACTTGGAAGGAGTGAGGAGGGCAAGGGCCAAGTCCTGGCTGGCTCTGCGTCCCCTGCACCCAAAGCGAGACATGACAAGGTGGCTTGTGCTCAGGGGCACCTACCTTTTCTACCAACTCACAACGGCTTAGTCTGAAACTTTGCTCTTAAACTAACCCACTCCTGGCTGGATGCAGTGGCTCACACCTGTAATCCTAGCATTTTGGGAGGCCGAGGTGGGGGGATTGCTTGAGGCCAGGAGTTCGAGACCAGCCTGGGCAACATATCAAGACCCCTGTCTCTACTAAAAACATTTTTTTAATTAGTTGGGCATGGTGGTGCACACCTGTGGTCCCAGCTACTCAGGAGGCTGAGGCAGGAGGATCGCTTGAGCCCAGGAGCTTGAGGTTACAGCGAGCTATGATCATGCCACTGCACTCCAGCCTGGGTGACAGAGCGAGACTCCGTCTCTTAAAAAAATAAAAAAAACCTACTCCTTTGGGCATAAGGGCAGCAGCAGCCTCTTAAGGTTTTTAATATACAAAGTTCCCTGGAGGAAGCGCCACCTGAGCTTGGTCACCATGTTGCCATTTCCGGTAGCATGTGGGGCTTGGGAGGGAAGGAGGTGGAGGAAGGAATGTGCTGGAAGTGGTGTGGGTTAGTGATTCAGGGCCAGTGGGAAGTCCCTGGGGCAAGGCCCAGCGAGGGGCAGGAGCAGGGCAGCTGAGGCCTCCAGTGTCCCTGGGAAGGGTTGGCTGGAGAGGATGGTTTCTGCGTGGGGTTCTTGACAGGGCTGCTGAGCAAGTAGGGGTGACTGTTAAGCGGCCTGTGTCCCTTCCCTGGGAGTCCCCTCCATGGAAACTGCCCCCTACTTCTCCCCACCCCTTCCCGGTTGCTACCCACGTGAGGGCCCCCAGAGGGGCCGTCGCCTTCAGCCCTCTGACCCTGTTCTCTCCCGCGGTCAGCAGGCCAGGGGCCAGCCGTGACAGAGGACAACCCAGGCATTCCACGCTGCTGTAGCCGTTGCCACCACGGACTCTTCAATACCCACTGGCGATGTCCCCGCTGCAGCCACCGGCTATGTGTGGCCTGCGGCCGAATGGCGGGTGCTGGGAGGACTGGGGAGAAAGCAGGTAGGAGAAGACAGGGGACAGAGGTGGGCGGGAGGGGGGTCACAGTAGGACTGCTCTGAGGCTGTGGCCATTTCTTGGCTGTCTCTCCCCAGAAAGCCCCTGTCACCCCCTGCTCAGCACCAGCCTCAGCCACCACTGCCCAATGCCCCTCAGAACAGACTTCCCCTGTCCCCAGATCAGAGGGACACCCCGCCTCCTTGCTCACCCTTGAACGGAGTCAAGTGCCCACTCTGTGCTGCCCACTTAGCTCAGCTTGCACCTTCTTAAACCTGTTGCAACACTGTGACATGGATATGCAGCCTCTGTTTTCCACGTAAGAAAATCTCAGAGAGGTTAAGTGACTTGTCCAAGGTCACACAGCTAGTAAGTGTTGCAGCCAGGATTTAGACTGAGGTCTTCTGATTCTGTCCTGTTGTTTTCACTGTGGTCAGCTTCCTCTCCCTTGGCTTAACTTGGCTACTTGATGGCTTGGAATTTCCTGGTGTCCCAACAGACGTGGCCAAATAAGAGTTCCAGGGTCAGATGTGTTTTGGAACATTCTCTTCTATACGGCTCTTGCAAAGCGTCTCAGTGTATCAAGACCTCTGCATTCTAAAACCAAAGAATCCTGTCACTGTGCAACCCAAGTTTCCCAGAAAGCACATGGTTTTTGGCTTGTTGAGCTCCCTGATTTAGATCTCCTTACCCTTCTTCCCTGACCTTGACCTGTGGTTACCTTGATGTCTGGCCCTGCAGCTTCTCCCTTCCCACCCCACAGGCTCACAGGAGCAGTCCACAGAGGAGTGTGCCCAGGAGGCTGGGCACCCTGCCTGTTCCCTGATGCTGACCCAGTTTGTCTCCAGCCAGGGTGAGGCATCTTGGAGGGGCGGGGCATGCAGAACAGAGGGTGGCTCCCAGGGAGATCAGCTTCCCATGTGGCCATGCCTCCCTCAGGTGCCATGCCCTTCTGCTTCATGGGGCTGCCTGCACCCCCGCACTCACCACCAAACTCCATCTCTCCTCTTCACCCCCCGCCCAGCTTTGGCAGAGCTAAGCGCTGCAATGCACCAGGTCTGGATCAAGTTTGACATCCGGGGGCACTGCCCCTGCCAAGCTGATGTCCGGGTGTGGGCCACCGGGGATGGGGGCCAGCAGGTAAGAACCAGGCCACGACACAGGTGACAGAGGACTAGCTGGTGGGCCCCAGGATAGGGCAATGTGCCTGCAAATGCCTGACCCTTGTGGGGGTCGGCCCTTTCCTTTCCATGGGGTGAAAAGCGAGAAGGAATCAGGCTACTTCTCACCCCCTTGGGAATTAGGAGGCGTGCAGAGAGCTGGAGCATCTGGCCCACCTCCCCCTGCCCGCAGGAAGTCTTCCCTCCCTGCCTGCGGGGGGTCCTGTGCCACCTGTGCCTATTCTAGCCCAGCACCTGCCATGCCAGTGGTGCCTATTGGTGCAGTTGTGTCCCCAGCCATGGGCTCCTTTTTGGAGAAGCGTTGGTCCTCCTTCTTGGTGTTCCTGGCACCTGACAACATAGCAGGTGCTCGGGGAGCACTCTGCAAAGCTTTGATGAAGTTCATGTTTTTATTATAAGTCATCCATTCAAGAAATAGTTCACTGAATGCATTTTGTGTGCCAGACACTATGCTACACACCCATCATGGAAAATCTGGAAAATACAGACAAGTTTAAGGAAAAAAACAATGACCTCTCATGCCCCCTTCACATTTTGACATATTTCTTTCCAGTCTTTTGTCCCTATATTTATTCATGTCTATTTTAGTGCACACTTTAGACGCTGTACCGTATGCAGAAATCCGTGGAAACTTTTCCCACCCAACATTGTACCCTATAACGTTTTGCTCCTGGAAACACAATTTTAGTACTTGCAAGAGCCCGTGGTTAATTCTCGTGGGTTGAGTTGTGTCTGCCAGTTTTTAAAATCTCTGCTTGGATTGGGGGGTGGCGGATGCATTTCACAGAAGGAGCCGACAGAGAAAACGCCCCCAACTCCACAACCTTCCTGTAATGGGGACACCAACAGGACCAAGGACATCAAAGAGGGTGAGCGGCTCCTCCTGCCCCTGGGACTGTATGGGAGGGAGGCTGGGCCAGCATTCGGGGCAGGCAGGGAACAGGCAGCGGAAGTGTCCAGGGACGACTTGGAGTTGCTTTAGTGACCCGTCAGCCCCGACCAGTAATCTCCGTTCCTCCTCGAGCTAAGCCTCCTAACCGCCTCTCGGGCCAGACTCCCCTTCTAAGCCCCTTCTTTTTAGAGGTTCTGCCTTCAGGAGAGGTGGTGGGAGTAGGGGGCCCGGGGCAGGGTTGAGGTGGGGGAGCTGGCGGAAAGAGAGCCCCGGCCAGGACTCGAGGGAAGCGTGTCGTGGGCAGTGGAGCCTCCAGAGGAGGGTGAGGGGCAAAACGTGAAGCCCCTCACCATTTGCCTCCCCGACAGAAACCCTGGACTCCACGGAGACCCCAGCAGAGGACCGTGCTGGCCGAAGGTCCCTGCCTTGCCCCTCTCTCTGTGAACTGCTGGCCTCTACTGCGGTCAAACTCTGCCTGGGCCATGAGCGGATACACATGGCCTTTGCCCCTGTCACCCCGGCCCTGCCCAGTGTGAGCAAGGGCACGGAGGGAGGGCCGGGAGCCCGGGCCGGAGGCTGGGGCCGGCCCACCGTGCAGTGCCAGGCATCCTGAACCCTCCTGCCCCTCCATGCCTCCCCCCACAGGACGACCGCATCACCAACATCCTGGACAGCATCATCGCACAGGTGGTGGAACGGAAGATCCAGGAGAAGGCCCTGGGGCCGGGGCTGCGAGCTGGCCCAGGCCTGCGCAGGGGCTTGGGCCTGCCCCTCTCCCCAGTGCGGCCCCGGCTGCCACCCCCTGGGGCTCTGCTGTGGCTGCAGGAGCCCAGGCCCCGGCGAGGCTTCCACCTCTTCCAGGAGCACTGGAGACAGGGCCAGGTGAGGCTCCCTGCCCGCCCCTTTACCCCCACCCAGGGCCTCACCTGCCTGCAGGGCTGGGTCCCCACGCTGTTCTGGCGCCCTTGGACACGCCCACCACGCCCACGCCGGCGCCCCATCCATTCTCCTCCTGTCCTCCCTCCTCTCCCGCTACAGCCCGTGTTGGTGTCGGGGATCCAGAGGGCATTACGAGGCAGCCTGTGGGGGACGGAAGCTCTTGGGGCGCTTGGCGGCCAGGTGCAGGCTCTGGCCCCCCTCGGGCCCCCCCGGCCCACGAGCCTGGGCAGCACAGCGTTCTGGGAGGGCTTCTCCCGGCCCGAGCGTAAGTGTCCCTGCCCGGGTCGGGGGAGCTGGGAGCCTGAACCCCAGGGCCTGGGCGGCACAGGAGTCCCGGTGTGACCTGGGGGTGGGGAGTGAGCGGGCCCAGGGCAGAGACTGGACTCGTGTGCCGCTGCCACTGGGGGAGGGGCCTCTGGGACAAGGGCCATTCTCTCTGTCCCCCCAGTTCGCCCAAAGTCAGACGAGGGCTCTGTCCTCCTGCTGCACCGAGCTCTGGGGGACGAGGACAACAGCAGGTATATGCGGTACAAGGGCCAGCCCTCCCCTCCTCCTTCATCCCCACACCCGCCCCATGACCCTCAGAGAGCCCATGCTTGCCCTCTGGGGGCAAGCCCACAGTGGGGGCTGTGACAGGGTCTCTGATGTCTGGCTTGGGCCTCCTGGGTGTGACCCTGTCTCCCCCTCAAGGGTGGAGAACCTGGCTGCCAGCCTGCCACTCCCGGAGTACTGTGCGCACCACGGGAAACTCAACTTGGCCTCCTACCTCCTGCCCGGCCCTGCCCTGCGTCCGCTGGAGCCCCAGCTCTGGGCAGCCTATGGTGCGTGTCCCCTCCCCTCCTGCCCACTCCCTGTTCTGGTACCTGTTGTCTCGGGCACATGTGCGTCTGTGCCAAGGCCCTGAGGCTGAAGCATTTTTTGACTCAGTTCCCAACTCTCCTTTCTCCACCTCCGTGCAGGTGTGAGCCCACACCGGGGACACCTGGGGACCAAGAACCTCTGCGTGGAGGTGGCTGACCTGGTCAGCATCCTGGTGCACGCTGAGGCACCGCTGCCGGCCTGGCACCGGCCACAGAAAGGTAGGTCCCCTGCTGGAGACAGGATGGACACACAGGAGCGGGCAGGCTGCAGGCGCGAGCCTCTGCCGCACGCCGGCCTCCTGAGCGCTCCCCTCCCTCAGACTTCCTTTCAGGCCTGGACGGGGAGGGGCTCTGGTCTCCAGGCAGCCAGGTCAGCACCGTGTGGCACGTGTTCCGGGCACAGGACGCCCAGCGCATCCGCCGCTTTCTCCAGATGGTGAGGAGGGAGCCGGGGGCCCTCCCCTTGCCCCCACCCGGCCCCAGGAGCTCGTCCTGTCCACCCACCTGAGCGCCCACCTGAGTGTGTGCTCCCCGTGTGCTCGCTCCCCGCCCCACTCCCTCAGGTGAGCTGGACAGTCTCGTCTCAGCCAGGTCAGAGGAGGCAGGTGGGGCCCGCAGGTCCCCAGTAGGGCTCAGGGAGAGAGCAGAGCCCCAGGTGGGAGGGCCGACCTGGTGTTGGAGTGAGGGCAGCAGCTGCCCGGGCTGGGCACAGGGGGAGGGCTTTGGGTGCATTACCCCAGAAAACTGTCACCACTACCCCACTGAGGCAGGTACTGCCACTGTCCCAATTTGCAGGTGGGAAAACCGTGGCTCAGTGGTACTGCTGGGATCTGAGCTTATGTCTGTCGCAGCCCCAGACTGCACTGTGCAGTCACTGCACTGTGCTCTCCCTGGGGGCAGGTGGCCTCCCCTCCCTGGGCTGTGGGTGGGGGTGGCCAGGGGACAAAGGGGCACCTTTCTGAGACACTGTCCTGCTGCCTTCCTTTCGGTGTCTGCACCTTCTGAGGGGAGGCTTCCTGGAGGGGGTGCTCCTGGAGGTGCTGGTGACCAAGGGGCTGAAGGTGGCTGCCTGGCAGGGGACAGAGAGATGGGCCAGGGGAGGGGCTGGGGATGAATAAGGGGCTGGGGATGGGCAGGAGGCTCCCAAGGGCCAGGGGAGGGGGAAGCCGGGGGTAAGGTTAGGGCGGTCCCAGTGCTTCCAAACTGAGCCCTGATTGTCCTGGGGAAAGACACCCACCAAGTGTCACCCCTTGCTAAGGCACACACACCCACAGACGTGCAGAGTACCATGTGGTGTCCACCACCCTCCCGCCCACAGGCCGGCACATGTGTAGATGTGCGCACAGTTGCTGGGACACGCAGACGGCAGCACACCTCCATGCACAGATGGCCCCGTCTCGGCTGGGTGTGGCCGGCCGTGGGCTGTCCCAACCCAATGACTCATGGGGAAGGCTGAGGGGCACATTCTTGCTGGGTGGCCTAAGAAACACTGCCAAGCCAGGGTGGACCTGAGTCTCCAGGGGCAAAGGAGTCTTGGCACGTGGCTGGGACTCCCCTGGGTCCAATCTGGTTCCCAGCCCTCCCCTCCTCCCATGGCCAGTCTTACAGCCCTAAGCCCAGGGACAGCCACTGAGGTCCTCACTGAAGGGGGTGGATGGAGCTGGTGGCTGGTTGGAGCGTGATGCTGGCGGTCACCTCTGCAGGTGCTTGCTGGCCACCTCCTCCTCTGGCCTCCACAAGTCCCTGCCCACCCAAGGAGCTCCCTGCTCGGCTGGGCTGGTGGAGGCCCCCATGGCTGTGCCTGGTACAGAGGGCTCCACCTGGACAGGCGGGCCTGTCCCCGCACTGTGTGGCCTTCCTTTCCTGGACCCAGGATCTTAGGAGAATCTGATGAATGCCTTGGGTTGGTCTCCCCAGGGACATGTAGCTACCCACTCACCTACCACTTGGCACACATTTCAGGCCATTCACAAGACTGCAGGTTGAGAACTGCTGGTGTAGACAGTTCCTGAATCGGGATTATGCAGCACCTCTCCCTGGGTTGTACAGGAAGGGGTACCATTGAGACGGGTAGCAGAGGGCAGCTTGGGCTGGGACCACAGAAGCTATTAAAGGCATCCAGCCCCAGGAAAAGCAGGGACTCAGGCCCCCAGCTTTAGGGCCCTTAATCCTTTCCTCTAAGCTCCTTCCAGCCCAGCGATTGTTCTGCCAACGTGAGCTGCCCCAGCCCCGCACCACCCGGCCCACGTCCTCCCTCTCTGTCCCTCACGTTTTAACTTGGGCCTCCAGCTCTTCTCCGAGCCAGGCCTCCTGCAGCCCTGCTCCCCCCTCCCTGCCTCACTCACTCTCCCTCCTCTTCTTTGAGGTGTGCCCGGCTGGGGCAGGGACCCTGGAGCCCGGCGCCCCGGGCAGCTGCTACCTGGACGCGGGGCTGCGACGGCGCCTGCGTGAGGAGTGGGGCGTGAGCTGCTGGACCCTGCTGCAGGCCCCCGGGGAGGCCGTGCTGGTGCCTGCGGGGGCTCCCCACCAGGTGCTTCCCGGCGGGAGGGGGCTGCGCTGGGAGATCAGCGGCCACCAGAGCAACATCACAGGCATAGAACATTCTCTCAATGTCCCGAAAGCCGGGCAGGGCAGGAGGCCAGGCCCCGTGGTGGGAAGAGGAAACAGGGAGACTGAGTGGTCTTGGAGTCGTCAAAACCGACTGGGACGCGCCCCAGAGTCTGGTCCTGGGCCCCTCGGCATGCTGACGAGAAGGGGCCCTGTGTCCTCTCTGGAAGCCCCTTGGCCTGGTTTTGGCCACGGCCTTTGGAGTATCTGCTGCCGTACCCGGGGCCTCTGCTCCCTGAGAGCTGGGTGGGGTCGTTAGTGGAACTAGGCCTCAGGGACCAGAGGGGCAGGGGGAGGATGTGCAATCTGCGGCCTCCGCTGACCCCCCTGCCTGTGTGTCCTCCCTGACACAGGTGCAGGGCTTGGTAAGCACAGTCAGCGTCACTCAGCACTTCCTGTCCCCGGAGACTTCCGCCCTCTCTGCTCAGCTCTGCCATCAGGGACCTAGCCTGCCCTCCGACCATCGCCTGCTTTATGCCCAGGTGAGTGTGACACTGGCCAGCAGGCTGGGCGTGCGGCCCAAGTCCCCTGTGGCCCAGCTACAGTGGACATGCCGGGATCCAGCCCTGTGCCAGGGAGGCAGCCACCGTGCACAGAGGAAGGTGTTCTTCCTGGGCAGGGTGGAGGGCGGTGGGGGCCTGGAAATGTGACTGGCAGTTCGTTGTCTTCTCTTTTTCCTAGATGGACTGGGCTGTGTTCCAAGCAGTGAAGGTGGCTGTGGGGACATTACAGGAGGCCAAATAGAGGGCTCCCAGGTGTCAGGAGTAGGAGTCAGGGCAGGTAGACCAGGTGCTCAGCCGGGCACAGCTACCGCGGCAACGGGGAAGGATGTGGGGGATTTGGGGGCTTTTGGTCTATCCCACAAGCACCACTCTGGGCACAAGCGGGGCACCCCATTTCCCACCCCTGCCCTGGGCCCTAAAGCCAACAGCCACAGTACCACTGAAGCGCACACCTGCCCCACCCCCGAGTTCCTCTCCATGGCACCAGGCCCACACTGGGGGTGACTGACTCCCCAAACCCAGCCCTCCCCCGCCCAGGAGACAAGCCGCCCTTCCTTGGGGGACCTCGGGAACCATTCTGGCTAAAGCAGCACCTCCTCATGCCGCCTCACCCCTGCCATCCCACCCATGCACCCCGGCTCTGCTTGTGCTCCCCCCCAACATCATCACTGGGCTCAGTGCAGGCGTCCTGGACAAGGGGCCCCAAAATCCTACCCTCCTGCCAGAAGAGCTGAGAAGTGTGGGGAGAGGACAGCATCAGGGACTGCCCAGGCTTGGCTGCAGGGAATGGCGTGGGCGATGCCACCCTGCCCTGCTCCCTCCATCCACCCCCTCTCCTTCGTGATTTCCATTAAAGTCTGTTGTTTTGTGATGGCTGCCATTGTGGTTGGCCCTGCTCCTGCAGGCCACATGGTCCGGGGAGGGGGGAGGGGAGATGCAGAAATCTGCTCCAGAGCAGAGGCAAATGGAGTAGGGTGGGCCAGGGCCAGGGTGGCAGGGACCTCGAACGCCACGCCTGCTCTTCTCCCAACTGAGGAGCAAATGCTCCTGACTGCAGAAGCAGGGGTCCGGGCAAAGTCCTAGGGAACAGCAGTGAAGTGGCCTCCTTGTGCAGCATTGGCATCAGCCTGCAGGGACCCTGGCGCCCACCCCTCCCCGAAAACACCAGGCTACCCATCTCTCCCGTCTGCCTTGACGTGGACATCCAGGAGTGTGGCCCAGGAGAGCCCTTGCCCAGCCCGTCTGCCCCTGGTGGCCATGGCTGGTGCCAGGCCCATCCAGCCACCCCAGGATGAGCCTCACCGCCCCGGACAGCTGACCCCTCCTGTCCCCCCATGCCCGCAGCCCTCAGGGTGGGGCTCTGCCCTCCTGGCCCTTCCCTGTGTATCCCAGACCCACACAAAACATGCCCCAACTCTTGTCATGCCTCTCATTGTTTCTGCTGTGGTTCAGGGAATTGTTTTTTATTAAATAAAATTTTTTATTATAAAACGTAAAATACTTTCCGAACATTTAGAAAAGAACAAAGTCACCTGCAAGCCCCTCTCTACTTACCCCCAACCACTAGGACTATTTTGGTGCATTTCCTTCTAGAATCTTCTCCTAGGATCTACAGTACACGTGGCTGGATTGGGGTGCCTTGGCTTTGGTTTCTTTGACACCGTATTGCAGTCGCTTTCTCTGCTGCTGTCGCACCTTCATTTTAAATGCCGCCTATACCCCATTAAGTAGTTTTGCCACGATTTACATAACCATCCCTTGTTGAAAAATGTAGATTTCTTCATTGTGTGGATAGCTCAGTTATTTTGACTTTTTGTGGGATAAAAAAAGAAGAGAAAAAATTAGAGAACTCCTATATTTTACTGTGCAACTGTTTTCATTTAACTTATCTCATTTAATCCCTGTCACCGAAATGATCTCATTTAATCCCTTCTCACTATATCTTGAGGTAGACACCATTTAGTTCCATTTTACAGAAGAAGAAACAGGAAGGCTGGGGTTCTGTCAGTTACCCAAGGTCACACAGCAATTGTAGTGGCAGAACTGGGATTCGAACCAAGTGTTCTGACTCAAGCCACCCCATTTACTTTATGGTCTTAGCTCTTAATGGAGTTTAAAGATGGCTTTGCCCTCCACTCTGCCCTCCTTCCGAAGTACACACTTTATAGCTGATCGTGTTCCAAGTGGCACTGAATGACCCATTTCTACCCACGCTTCACATTCTACAGCTGTCTCCATGTCACCCCAGAACCCAAAATATGGGGTCCTTCAGGTGGGAAGATGGCGCTCTTAATTTTGCCCAGTAGGGGCGGGTATGGCATAGTCACGGGGTCCCCTCTTCCCCCTTTCCCCTTCCAGGTGGGTCACAGCACGCTTGAGGGCATGTCTGCTCTGACTATAAATAGCAAGTGGACCGATGTTCAAGTGTTCCAGGACTGGACCTGGGAATGCAGCCAGGCCAGGTGGACACCGGCCCTGAGATTCAGCTCGGGGCACTCAGTGGCACTCTTAATTCCCCTTGGAGGCCCTTGGGCCCCTGCTTCTCCCAGGGTCACCAGCTCATTGGCCACCCTCTGCCTCCAGCCCCCTCTGTCTGGCCCAGATATCTCAGACACACAACTCACAGAGGTGGAAGCAAGCGTGGGGTGTGCATATCCAATGCCTTCTTTTCCTTTTTTCTGTTAAAATTCTCAGACATTTTAATTTTGAAATCATTTTAGACTTACAGCCAAGTCACAAAGATAGCACAGAGAGTTCCCAATCCCTTCACCCAGCTCCCCTAATGTGAACATCTTACGTAACCAGGGTACCTTTATCAAAACTGCAAAATCAACACGGACACTATTAACGAAGCAGTGGGCTTCACTGGGATTTCACCAGTTCTGTTAATGTCCTTTTCTGTTCCGGGATCCAGCAATGCCCAAGTTGGACAACTGGCCTAGAGGGTACACGTGGCTGCCCTAGGGTCACTCAGAGCCAGGGCAGAGCCCAGCCCACAGCCAGCCCTCCCCATCCCCTGCAGCCTGGGCTCTGCCCTCCTTACCCTTCCCTACTTTGTCAAGAGACTGGCCTTGCTACTCCATAAACGACTCTAGCACTACAGACAGCCTTGCCCCACCCTGCCTGTCTGTCCCTGTCCTGGTCCCAGTCCCCAAGGCTGCCTACCCTAGGCTTCCCTGCTCACACGCTCACATGCACATGTGCTCACACATGCCCCGAAACGTCTGGCTCGGGCTCCGCTCCCATGGGTGCTGGGAGCAGTCAGTTCACTCCCATCGTCCACCGCGCCGTGCGGCCAGCCACGCCGGCTGTGTACTTTCCTCTGTGGGACTGGAGGGCACACCGCAGATGTGACGGAGACCTTGGCGGTTCCCATCCAGCCTCCCTCCCTCCCTTGGCTGCTGTCCCTGCAGCCTCTGTCTGACCACTGCTCTCTCCCTCCCGAGGCCTTGAGAAAGTCTGAATCTTGTTGTCTCCTCCGTACTCCGGGAAGGGCTGGGCACACGCCTTCACAGTTTACAAGGGGCTTCTGGCGTGTTCTGTTGCCTCACACGCCGCTCACCGCAGGGGCGATCAGGCCCACTCAACAGGGAGGAGCGCTTTCCCCCGGGGCTGACGGGGGAGTGGAGCTGTGGTGGTTGCAGTCTTGGCCGTTCCAGGCCTTCTGCTGTTTACCTTAGGCGCCTCTGAAGCTCTCAGAACCCTGCCCAGACATGACCTCACTCTCTCTCAAATCATCCCCAGGAGGCAGAAAGGAATCTGCCCCCACTTCACAGATGGGAAAACTGAGGGCTAAACACACTCAGCAAATACGTTGACAAGCGGCTCTGTGGTCTGGAGTCCTGACTCTCCACCCTGAGAGCACAGGTGTTGGGAGGTGGGGGGTCTAGAATAGGGCTTGGCCCACCAGTGTTCAGCAAGTACCTCCCAACACCATGCACCCTCCCAAGGCCTCCCATGATTAACACGGGGCCCTGCCTCCAGGGAACCTGCAGTCAGAATCGTAATGTAACAAGAGCCTAAAGAGGGCAATCTGGTGTCTCCGGAATTCCTGAGAGTTAAGTCTGGTGCTCAGGCAGCTCTGTGGGCACATTTCATGAGGATGGGCCTTTCTGCAGTAGCAACAAGCGCCGTGGATGAGAGGGCCCAGCCCAGAGGGTGGGAGGGCTGCCTGGTGATGGTGTCCAACACTGGCCAGTCCACATAGCTCCTCCCTGAGTGTCTTGCATTTTCGACACCCTGTAAAAGAAGAGCTGTTATGACCCCATTCTACAGATGAGGAGACTGAGGCCGACAACTTACCGAGGGCCACACAGCAAACTACAGTGGCACGATGTCTGGCTCCAAGTGCTTGTGCCACTGTCCCCCATCCCCAAAGGGAGGTACACAGAGCAGCAGGCAGGAAGAGGGAAGGGGAGCCCTCCTGGGGGTGAGGGGCCCAGACTGGGCTTGCCTGGCAGATTTCTTCCAGCTGGCCCTGCGTTCCTGTCCTGAGAGGAGGTTAAGGGAGGCTCCGAGGAGGAAAGGTCAGGCTGGGAGAGAAGCAGGAGCTCGACAAAACAACCCACACCCTGCTCTCCACCGCCAGGCGCTGCATGCTGGGTGCGAGGGTGAGGACAAGGAGCCGGGCACCACCCCGCCCTCCAAGGGCTCACGTCTGCAGCAGAGACGGCCTGGAAGGTGCGTGGGAAATGCCGCGGGCAGGGGACAGTAACGAGGGGGTGCTGGCTGATCGCAGCACTCTCGCCCCAGCCCTGCCACCTCCCTTTGCTGAGCGCCTGTCACTCTTCCCGCCCAAACCAATCATTTAGCACTGAGCCTACAACCCTCAGCTTCCTCTGTGTCCCTCTCCCGGACTGGAGCAGCATCACTTCCCAGGCAGGGGTTTTATGTCCTTCTGGTCAGGTGACATTTCATACTTTTTTTTTTTTTTTTTTAGCGAAGTAGGAAAGTTACTTGGGAAGTGATCATCTCCGTTACTACAGTCGTATGTTTATATGACAAAAGTGGGACGGTGGGTCCAAGCAGCGACCCAGGCCCTGTGACGTCATGGGCTCGTGACGTCACCGTTGCTGTCACCGCGGCTCAACGCACCCTGCGGGCAGGATGACGCCATCGTCGGAACCCGAGCGGACAAGTGCGCGCTGGGGGCACGAGCGAGGTCGGCGGCTGGGAGGCGCCCGGAGGGCGAGCGGGAGAGGACCGACCCGCAGCGCACGCCGCGTGGGCGAGCTCCGGGGCCCGGCCGGGCGCCCACCCCGTGACGGGCTGGCCACGCCCCCTTGGTGGCCGCCGCGGGCCAATCCGAGCAGGCCGCGGCGAGGCGCAGCCTATCAGCGGCCGGGGCTCTCCGGGCGCTTCCGCGTTGGCGACCGTGCCGGGCCGCGGCCGCAGGGCAGGGGCAGGGGCGCCGGGCCCCACGCTCGCCCGCGGCACGTCCCGCTGCGCTCGGCCGGCCTGCGGGGTCCCGGCCCGCCGCCTCGCAGGCGACCCGATGACCTCGGAGGGGCTGGCGGGGGCGCTGGCGGCAGTGCTGGGGGGCCGGGGGCTGCTCGTGCAGGGCTGTGACTCGGGGCCGGCCGGGGAGGCGCCGGCGCCGGTGCGGCTGCGGAAAAACGTCAGCTACGTGGTGCTGGCCGTGTTTCTCAACGAGCAGGTGAGCGTCCGTCCGCCGGCCCCGGGGCTCGGGAGCGCGCAGCCAGCCCAGGAGGGCACAGAAGCCCTAACGGCCAAAGCCACCGCTGCCGTGTGCGAGGCGCTTCCCAGTTTTGCAAAGCACTCCCGCTTACTCGTGCATCTGTGCCCTGCGAGTGTCCCGGTGTACAGAAGAGGAAACTGAGGCCCAGGAGCCTGTTTGTCTCATCCCATTAGGCCTCATTGCGAAGAGGGCTGTCGTATGCCTTGTATGCCTTTTCCCGAGTCTAGCAGAGTGGGCGCTCCTGAATGTCGGTTGAGGGCCCCACGGGTAGCAGTGGCACAACCCACAACCTGGGCTTACCCTCAGGCCTTTGGTGCCCATCCGTGTGCTACTCGGTGTAGTAAGAGCTAGAAAGGGCCAGGGCCCTAGGGCAGGGTGATACAGGGTGGGTCATGTTTCAAAGCCCAGACTCCAGTGTGAACACTCACCACAAGCCGTATGGAAACCATGTTGGAGGCGAGAGATACACCCGACACACGCAGACACACTTCTGTGCAGGATGCAGGGTAATCCTCACTCTGGGGCCTAATCTCCGGCCCCAGGAATCTCCACCAGTTTCTGAGGAGGAATTGCAGGGAGGAGATAGCTGCAGCCCCAGCCACAGGAGGGCAGTTCTCTGCGGAGGGTGTCGGCCAGGAAGGGAGTCGTGGACGACCAAGCCCCGGGGCGAAGGAAGGGCTGCTGGTCTGGGAGCTCAGCCAGCAGCCTTCCCTCGCCCTGGGCCGGCTGAGGTGGGCGGTGAAGACCCCCTGTCTCCCCTCAGGATGAGGTGCTACTGATCCAGGAGGCCAAGAGAGAGTGCCGGGGGTCGTGGTACCTGCCCGCAGGGAGAATGGAGCCCGGGGAGACCATCGTGGAGGCCCTGCAGCGGGAGGTGAAGGAGGAGGCCGGGCTGCGCTGCGAGCCCGTGACGCTGCTGTCTGTGGAGGAGCGGGGCCCCTCCTGGATCCGCTTCGTGTTCCTCGCTCACCCCACAGGTACGGCCCGCCCAGTGGCAGTGTGAGCATGGGCCAGTGTACACCTTTCCTCCCAGCTCGTCCTCCCGTGAGCCGAGCCCCTCATCAGCCAGCCTTACTCTGGCTGGTACGGCCTGGAACCAGCGGATTCCAGCTGGAGGGCCTGGGGCCTCCCCGCTGGGTCAGAGGTCTCTGTTTACTCTGCCAGACCCCCACTTCTCTCAACGCCGACCCTTCCCCAACCCATGCCCTGAATCTCCCCTAGGTGGAATTCTCAAGACTTCCAAGGAGGCAGATGCAGAGTCCCTGCAGGCTGCCTGGTACCCTCGGACCTCCCTGCCCACGCCGCTGCGGGCCCAGGACATCCTGCACTTGATCGAGCTAGCTGCCCAGTATCGCCAGCGAGCCAGGCACCCCCTCATTCTGCCCCAGGAGCTTCCCTGCAGTGTGGTCTGCCAGCGGCTTGTGGCCACCTATACCAGCGTGCAGACGGTGTGGGTGTTGGTGGGCACCGTGGGCATGCCTCACTTGCCCGTCACCGCCTGTGGTCTCACCCCCATGGAGCAGAGGGGCGGCATCAAGATGGCTGTCCTGCGCCTGTTGCAGGAGTGTCTGACCCTACACCATTTGGCGGTGGAGACCAAGGGGTTGCTTGGACTGCAGCACCTGGGCAGAGACCATACCGATGGCATTTGTCTGAATGTGCTGGTGACAGTGGCTTTTCGGAACCCAGGTATCCAGGATGAGCCCCCAAAGGTCCGGGGCGAGAACTTCTCTTGGTGGAAGGTGGTGGAGGAAGACCTCCAAAGCCAGCTCCTACAGCGGCTTCGGGAATCCTCTGTTGTCCCAGTGAACAGATAGGAAGGCAGCAGCAGCAGGGGCCGGGAGCTGGGCAGCCGTGCTTCCCTCTGAGGGAGGCAGGAGGCTGCTGATCGGGGGACCTTGTTGCCTTGGGAATGGGGGTTCTGAGGAGGAGACCCCTACATTGCACATGGGACTGTGCCTTTAACTGAGCGAGTCCAAAGCGCAGGCCTGATTGCTCTGGGGACACTGAGGCTTCTAAGGGGATGAGAATGGGGAGTTCTCTGAACCCCAGATGGCATCTGCTCATCTCTTTCTGTGCCCACCTTGGTAAAGGCCTGTGTCCTGGTCTCGCCAGGCACTTAGAAGCTGGAGGGCACCTTGCTGAGTAAATAGGGGTTGCTCACCTTGCCTTTCCTGCCTAAATGTCTGTGGGGAGCAAGCCAGGGGGAACTGCCGTCCCAGAGAGCTACTGCTCCCCTTTGGCCACCAACAGCCACCCAGGCCTTTCCCAGACAGTGCGCGGACACTGGTGGGGCCAGCCTGCTGGAGCTGTCTCCACCTCGCCTGCGGGCGGGACGTGACTGAGGGGACCACATCCCTAGTGAGACACAGCTCTGAATGTTCCGACGTGGGGCGGTGGGGACCCCTGGGGAGCTTCAGGTGGGACAGGAGGTGGGGACGTTGGCCCAGTGCTGTCTGCCTGGGCCTCCCTGGCTCTGACCAGCCCTGCACCTCTGCCTTTTTACAGCCTCAGCCTAAGCCTGACCAAACCTTTTCTTCATTTCCCCTCAGCGCGGCTGAGTCATAGCAGGATGTTTTTGTATTAATAATAAAAGAACTTCACAACAATTTAAGGGAAAACCAAAGGAAATGAAGGAAGAAAATAGACTGTGTGCTCATCACTGCGACTACGGTACAGATTTCTGATTCTGCGCAGGGCGCTTGTGTGGCTTCCCTGCTACGGGGACTACACTCCAGCCCTGCAGGGCCCCTTCTCAGCCCCCTCCCTGCCTCTCTTGGCTGCCACCTTGTCTTGCTGGCCTCTGGAGGGTGGCAGGAATCCTCATCCCCTCCGAGGACAAACATCTTGCAAATGATGGAACCAAACCCTTTTATTCGGTTCACTTCTGTCTGAGGGACCCACCAGTCCATCTCCGCTCAGATGGGCAATGATATTCGCTCCCACTGGAAGTTTCCAACCCTGGGCGCACATTAGGATCACCTGGGGAGCTTTAGCATTCGCTTTGGGCCCGCCCTGAGTGACGCTGATTTAACTGGTGGGGCCTGGGTATTGGTATTTTAAAAAGCAACCCAGTGACCCCGACATGCATGAGCTGAGAGCCCCTGGCTGGCCCGGTCTTCTCCAGGTTCACAGCTTGCCCTGTCCCGGAGTCCTCTGGGTGACTCCCTCAGAGTATGCCACCACCCCTCCACACACATCCAAGGACAGAGTCTGTTCAACGTCAGGCCCACTGTTTACAAGTCAAGTCGTACAACATGCAACATAAACACGTCAAAAGAGACGTGCACACAGATGCCGCCACATGGGCCGTCCCCTCCTGGCGTGTCCGAGGCGAGCAGGCGCGCAGTTGTAGGTGAGCCGAGCAGAAACAGCGTTGCTCGGCCAAGAGTCTGATTCCTGGCAGGCGCTGAGGAACGTCAGAGTTGCACTGCCAGAGCCTGTCTGTTTACCACCACCCCCCTCCAGTGCTGGAAAAAGAACTTAATTTGTCTTCCTTGGGGAGGAAGATGGGCCCAAATTAGCAGTGGAGCCCTGGGCAGCAGGACACAAAGCATGGAGAACAGAGCCACCATGTCCACACAATCGCGCCGTTTATTGCTGTGCTGTCTGGGGAAAGACACCGTGCAAACACCAAAGTGCGCTGAGGAGAGGGGAGGGTCTGTGACTGGCAGACCCTCGAATGTTTTACGATTCCAAAAGTCCAGATGCAATTCACCCACTGAGATCTGCTCCCCTGTCCAGACCGACACCCGTGTGCGCCCGGTGTTCTTCCGAGCAGCAGCGGAGTCCTCCCCCGCTGGGAGGAATGCGGGAGAGGCAGAGGTCACTGAGTTTCCTCCTCTTTCATGTCACCTCTTGGCAACCTGCGCCCGGCTTCTAGAAGCCGCATGGGCAGGAAAAGGAAGCGAAAGGGGCTCTGGCCTGCTCCTCCTTGCCCAGGAGCGAAGCCAGCAACTGCAGTCCCGCTGTGAGGTAATGGCTGGCGCTGCCCGTGTATGCCTGCAGGTCGAGACAGATTCAGGCCGGGTGGGGTAGCAGCCCCTGCCACGGAGGGCACGCAGGGAGAACAACAGCAGAACTGGCTACCTGTGCCTCGGCCCCTCCCCGCCAGGCCTCAGGGCCTGAAGTTGGGGGGCAGCCTGCCCTCATCTGGACCCCAAGCTCTCTTGCTCCCCGAGAAGGGTATGTCTCGAGAACACTGGGCGCTGGGCAGGAGGCAGAGGGCAAGGCCCGGCCTCCCCTGGTCTCTGACCTCTCTGCCCAGGTGTTGTGGACCTGCTGAGACGGGTTCAGAAGGCGCCAGAGAGAAACCAGCTGGAGCTGTAGCCTGGCACCCGGCTCCCCAGGCCCTCTCCCGCCCTGGCTGCAGCTGCAGCAAGGTTCTCATTAACGGCTGCCCCCGCCTGGGCGCGGAGCATGCTTTGGGCACTTGCCATGAGGAGGCTGGGAATTTGCAACAGTCTCCAGGAGGCAGAGCAGGAAGAGGGGCTTCCCCGACTGTCCCCTTCACTGCGCCATCTCCACGGGCCAAGTCAAGAAGGCAGGGGAAAAACGTCAAGTCTCAGCAGCTTCCATGGTTCCTAATGTGACAGACGGGGCTCCTGGCCCCATCTCTCTGGCCCGGTTCCGACCAGCCTTGGAGACCTCAGCTCGCTCCCCCTCTTGCCCTGGAATCGAGTCACAGGTCTTGGCCCTGGCCACAAACGGCCAGTACGGAGGGGCAGAGGCACACAGCACGTGAGGGTCTGGGTGCTCACCTGGCCACCACCCAGCTCCTCCGAGAAGGCCTCAAGGACACCATGCTGCCTGGGGAGCCATCTCTTTGGCTCCTGGGCACCCAGTACCTTGGGGGCCCACTCCCTGAAACCACACCAAACCCGGTCCGGGGCGGTCGACAATTCCAGGTCTCCGTGAGCGAGCCTGGGAGCCGGGGCCCCGGGTGGGGAGGGTGCGGCGGCAGTGCCAGGCGGGAGGCAGCTCTGGGGCAGAGGTGTGGATAGGAGTCTACCACCGTCCTGCTCCTGGCTCAGACTTGCCCTTCCGGGGGTGGGGACAGGTTCAGGTGAGGACCACGTGGGGGAAACTTGACGAAAGCGATGGCGGCCAGCTCCTTGCAGAATTCCTCCAGCACCACCACTCCCTGAAGGAGGGTCTGGTGGTCCAGCCTGCGGGGGGACAGCACAGGGGCCACGGCTGGGAGGCGGTGGGAGTAGTTGCCCAGAGTGACAGCCCAGTGTCCGCAAGGCTGGACCCAGTAGATGGACACCTCCCCGGCCAGAGGCGCTTTCTGCTTGCCCACCCCAAGGCTTCTCCTGGCACCCATTCCCCTCGGGTACTTACTGCTCCCCAGGGACCTGGCCCATCAGCTGCTTGCGCACCAGGAGTAGTTTGCCCGGGAACTGGGGGACCCTCTGAATCCTCTGCATCAAGTCCCCGATCACCTAGAACAGGAACCACGGAGGACTGAGAAGGGGCCAGAGACGCTCCGTCAGGGTACCCTGGCCCTGCCACGCCATGGCGGGTGGGCAGCGTGGGGGATCTGTGGTTTCCCTGGCACTGGCAAGGGTGCCCACTCCTCCAGCCCCCAACTGCCCTGCCCTGCACCCCTTCCTGCCCCCCCGCCCCTACGGGGCACAGTCGCCGGGGCCCAGGCGCCCTCACCCTGACGAGCACGGAGAACAGGCTCCTGCAGCCGGGGGCCAGGCTGACGTACGGATCCAGGAGGTACTCGTGGATGTGGGGGTGGGGGAAGAGGGCGAGCCGGGACAGGACTGAGGTCACCTGCAGGTTCAGGCTGTATGGCTGTAGGGAACACGGTGGACAAAGCCGAGGGTTGGCAGGGGTGGGAGCATTTTCGCACTCCCCCAGCGAGGCGCCTGGCCGGTGTGAACGTGTGCGGGGGTGGGAGACTCACGTGATGTGTGTGTGTCATGGATTCCATGGGGCTGAGGGCCAGAACGTGTTAGGGCGTGTGGAGCAGAGGCGAGACGGGGCTTCCCGCCTGGGGAAGGGGGCTGGGGGCCATCGCGGGGCTGGAGAACCGAGGAGGGGTCGACCCCGTGGTCGGCCCCTGCTCTGCCGAAGGACTCCAAAGGCACCAGCCTGGAGTCCTCCTGTGGGGCTGGGCCTGTTGACTACCTGATCCAGAATCCGGGACATGCGGTCAAACAGCACTCGGAGGAAGTGGCCCTCGAAGAAAGGCCGTTCGGGCTCGTGGGGGTCCAAGGGTGTGGGAGCCAGAGGCCAGCCCCAGGAGGCCACACGGGAGCTGCACTCCTGGAACTGAGACAGGAGGGGATGGGGGAAGGGGGCCGAGTGGTCAGGAGGAGCCAGCAGATGGGGACCCTGCGCAGGAGGGATGGGCTCGGCGGGGTCCTCAGACAGGCGATCAAACACGGAGTTTATCAACCCAAGAAATGGGAGCTGGCAGCGGCCGACACTCACCAGGCCGTAGGCATCGTGGACGTACGTGTCGTAGCCTGTCTCCTCCAGGAAAGCTGAGGTCTTGGCTTCCTCGGGGACCAGGCAGAGGAAGCTGAGAGACAGGAGGCCAGGTGTGGAGGCGCACCCCATGGGCTCGCCTGCTCGCTGGACCCCGTCTCCCACCCCAGCCGGGCCCCCCGAGGGCTGTGGCCAAAGAGAACAAACTCGAGTGGCTGCAACTGCCTAACCTGCTCCCCACCTGTTCACGATCTCCGTCACTGCCGTTTTGCCATCCGCGCTGGGGGCAGGCGCCGGGCGAGGCTTCGCGGAGGGCTGCAAGCCGGGACCGAGGAAGCCGTCTGTGAAGTAGGGGTCTTCCTCCAGATCTCTGTGGCCAGGGCAGACCAGCACAGCGCCAATGAACGAATGAATGAACACGAGGAGTGTGGGTGTGCTCAGGCCTGGACTGGGCCCGATGTGGCCCGGGTTTCACTTACAGGGTGTCCTCATAGCTCTCAGGCTCGGGCGAGCCCCGCGCCACGTAAGGGCGGCCCTCGAGGTGGCGCAGGATCAGGCTGCGGAGGATCCACTCGTGGGGCTTCTGCAGCAGCTCCTCGAACAGCCGCAGCGTGGCGATGCTGATCTGCGGCCAGACGCAGGTCAGCAAGACGGCCCTGCCCCACCCAGCCCCAAGGGGACCCTGGACCTGCTGACCCGGGTAAGACTCGGCCTCCCTGGCCGGGGGTGAAGATGGCAGGCTTGGGAGAGTGGGTGGGTGTTGGCCTAGGAACCGGGAAGTCGGGGTGGTCCCCGCTGCATGACTGATTTGACGTGAGGTCTCAGCAAGCCAACTGGCTTCCTGTGCCTTAGTTTCCACATCTGAAAAATGGGACAATCAGCCTAACTCCCCTCACAGAGCGAGCCTCCTCTCATACAAGCCAAGTGAATATAAATGCAGTTTGCAAAACAGAGAGTGCCACACAAAGGATGCGATCACAGAAAATTAACGTGACAAAAACAGCCTGGCTACTGATTCCTGTGTCACTGTTTGGGGGATTCAATGCCTCAGAGGTGGAATCACCTGGGAGAGCTAATGAGAATGGGAGGAAGCGTTCTGGAAATCCCTTTGGTGGAGCTGGGGGGTGAGCAGAGAGGGAGGCCCCTCCCGCCGCACCTCGTCAGAGAGGTGGTCGCAGTGCCC